ATTAAGATCATTCTCTCGTACCTTTGCAACCGTGCTATACCACCCTACACGACGTTCCTTAGTTGCATACAAACTCTAATGTTAACATCGATTTTAGAATAAAAAACTATTTTTTCAAAATATAATAAAATGTAATTATGTATGTATCAGAGTTGAGAATTACCATTGATTCTCTTGAACATGGAGAACATAGCCTCATGATGGTTGTGATCAAAAAACCATATTCTGGGATCCTTCTCATCCTCCTCAAAAGCACTATAACAGAGAAATTATTCATTTAGAAAAACAAAACCCCGGAGTTTTTATACATATAGAAAATTGTTTAGGTTTCAACAGGTTGAACTGTTTTCACAAAGGGACCAAAAGAGAATATTTTCTAACTTAATCACAAACTTTCAAGATCTAAACTTTATGCACTAAAGTGACCGAAAGCTCATAACACCCAGGACTAGCTAGATCTAACAAATGCATCATCAAGATTAAAACTTTATACCTCTAGAAGAAAGATCAATGTGAACAAAGTCTGGATCTACAAGATCCAATGCTACCAACACTTCTCCAATGATCTCCTTCTTCTCCCAGATGCACCAAGAACACTCCAAATCACTTAAAAACACCTTCTTTTTGCTCAAAGGCTCAAACTAGGGTTTGTGTTTCAAGGGAGAGTGTTGTAGAGGTGGAGGCTGAGAATGGAATGGTTTTGGGGAAGTTAAGGAGCTTAAATAAGGCTCAAACCACGAATGTAGGGTTTAGGCATTGATCGCATACGCCCATGGTACGCCTAGCGTACTCAGGGATACCCTAGTACGCCCAACGCACGTGGCTTAACCCAAAACTATCATAACTTCAAACGGCCATAACTTCTTCGTTTCAACTCCGATTTCGATGATCTTTATATCCATAGAAGGATATTGAGGAGCTCTACAACCCTATCTAATTACTTTTAACTTAAAACACATTAAACTAAAATCCTTACTTCATAAAAAAGTCTGAAACACCACTTTTCCCATTATATCCTTGGGATACAAAGCACAAACCAAACTCTTGGATCACGTAATCTATATTACCTACATCCAAATGGGTCTAAACCTCTCCTTGCTCAAGGCTCGAAGCCTTATGATAACTGATCTTCGGGTCACAACCTGAAATATGGAACAAATCGAAACAAGGTGTTACAAAAGATCATTGATAACATGCAAAGTAGGAATGTACGAACCTACATATTTTTTTTTCAACATCAATTGTAACAAAATTAATAACTAAAAATAAAGAATTAGTATTTGGCAAAAAGTTGTTTACCACATATATAAGAGCCACAAAATGAAAACGGTCCAAACCATTTGTCTTGATGTTAGTCAAACTTGTGGAGTTGGTTCTTTGAAGGTTATGCAAGTAAACATGAAGACTGACAAAGCTTTATTTGTGACCATGATCCGAGGGACTCATGTATAACAAAATTCCAAAATGTACAAAAAGAAATACATAATATATGTATGGGATGCAAGCTGTCAGTTTGGAGTTGATTACGTGAGCCTGAAATATACGTTTTTAGATTCTGAAACAACTTTACATCACAGTTCACTCAACTCTAGAACAAACATAACTTCTTCAGGATGAGGTGTTACAAAAAATTTGGTTAGTTTTCAAAAACTTAAAAAATAGTTATCTTTGTTAATAATACCAATCTATATAGGTAAATTTAATTAACATAATTGTTCATTAATATTTTCAAAGTAAATTATTAAAATCATCCATGTGATTTGGTTAAAATTGCATGTTTGGTCCATAATGTTTTTTTCCACTCAGACCATCCCTCTAGTTTGTTTTTGTTTCTGTTATGGTCATTGACTGACATGAAAAGACAATTTTACCCTTGATATTTTTTCCCACATTTTAAATAACTAGTAAATACCGTCAGCACTGTCATCGAACCAGCATCACTACCATCGACCACTACTAACATAGAAAAGAGACGGTTGGAAAGAGAGATAATAGAGAGAAACGGCAGGAAAGAGAGATGATTTCAGAAAGCATTGTAGTGATGGCAGTGATTTCCTTGATTCGAAGATCGAGCAGAGTGCAGCTCGACGATGTCACTCATCATGTTCCTTCTTATACATAAACATCAGATTACATATCCAACACCAAATATATATTAACATTGTTTTCAGATGGCAGATTGCAGACCGTGGAGAAATTGAAATCAATTTTTGGATCCGAAAACTTAAATCTGAAAAAAAAAACCCAATTTCCACTTGGACCGTCCCTCTAGTTTGTTTTTTGTTTCTGTTATGGTCCTTGGTTGACATGAAAAGACAATTTTACCTTTGTTATGTTTTTTCCCACATTTTAAATAACTAGTAAATACCGTTGGCACTGTCATCGAACCAGTGTCACTACTGTTGACCACCACTAACATAGAAAAGAGACGGTTGGAAAGAGAGATAACAGAGAGCAATGGCAGGAAAGAGAGATGATTTTAGAAAGCATTGTAGTGGTGGCGGTGATTTCCTTGATTCAAAGATCGAGCAAAGTGCAGATCGACGATGTTACTCATCATGTTCCTTCTTATACATAAACATCAGAGTACAGATCCAACACCGAATATATATTGACATCATTTTCAGATGTAAGATTGCAGAACGTGGAGAAATTGAAATCAATTTTTGGATCCGAAAACTTAAATCTGAAAAACAAATACCCAATTTCTTTTTCTTATTTCGACCCATGTTCTTCAAGTGCAAAACCGAACAAGATCAAGAGATATAGAGTGAGAGATATCGAATAGAGAGGGAACATGGGTTGCAATGTCGTAGGTCTCGTGTAGGATGCAATAGATCTTTTTTTTTTGGTTTATTCAAGAAGTGGGTTGAAGATGCAAACTGCAGTTAATTAGGTCTTCCAAAAAGGAATTGGGATCGTTTAGTCTCAAAATGGTGTTTGAATCTTCAACATGGTGAGGGTTGAAGATGTAAAATACAGCCGATTAAAGCAGATTGGTACCCTTCTCGTGACCCACCATGTGAGAAATTGATATTGTTTTAAGATGAAGGAATCAAAGAGAGTGCGAGAAGGGAATTAGAGGTAGATAGCAGGGGGCGGCGGCGACATAGCGATAGTGCAAAATAAAGGTGGTCATCGGAGGTGAGGATTTGGAGTCACTGGAAACTGAGATGGGGTACGACCCATTTTCTAATTTATAGATAAGGGGATAAGGCTAGTGAGGTGGAGGTAGGCCACACTTTTTTCTTTTTTAATTTATAAATAATAATAAAAAGAATAAAATACTTGAAAAATAAATTCATAAGGGTATTATAGTCTTCATGTCTGATAGAGATTAATAATGCAATAAGATCAAATTATAAAGACGATGCAAATGCAAATATATATATATATATATATATATATATATATATATATATATATATAAAAGGGTATTATAGTCTTATGTCTGATAGAGACTAACAATACAATAAGATCAAATTATAAAGATGATGCAAATGCAAATATATATATATATATATATATATATATATATATATATATATATATATATATATATATATATATATATATATATATATAGGGTTAGGTTCATGTGAGACTGTATAATTTTGTGAGACCGTGAGACGCAATCCTAGCCATTCATTTGATATATAAAACAAAAAACATTTTTAAAATGCAAAATAATTGAAAATTTTCGATTTTTTTTTAAATATTATTTTCGGAATTTAAATTTTCCAAAAAAACCAAACAATAAAAATAAAAAATAACTTTTTTTACATATTCTAGTAGAATAATACAATATTCTACATATCTGAGAATTTTAGTATAATATTCTAACATTCTAAAAATCACATTAGAATATTTACAGTGTAATATTCTATTAGAATATTTCACGTATTTTTCAAAAAAAAAATGGTAATTTTTTTTATTTTTATTTTATTTTTTTAGGTAATTAAAGTTCCAAAAATAATAATTAAAAAAGTATTTTTGGATTTTTTTTTCTTTTATTTTGCATTTTAAAATTATTTTTAGATTTTTGGTCTCACAGTCTCACAAAATTAGCATGATCTCAAATGAACCTGAACCTCTCTCTCTCTCTCTCTCTATATATATATATATATATATATATATATATATATATATATATATATATATATATATACACACACACACACACACAATTAGGTTATTCTATTTAAACTAATTATTGTGTTATTGTATGCATAGGTGTGGGCCAATCATTTTACTTATTTTAAGAAAATGATTAATACATATTATTAAATTAAAGATTATTGAAAAATACCATTTAATTTCATTCTAAGGGTATTTGAGACAATTGAGATAAATTTAAAAAAGAAAAATTCTATATTTTTTGGGATAATTAACTCTCTTGATTTTAAAATTCTAATTTTTTTAATTACTTTAATTTTAATTATAATGTAATTTTTATAATTAAACTCGAGTTTATTATGTTAGAATGTCATTCTGTTAAAATCATATTCTCTAGGAATTTCAGGATATATATTTCTATTAGAATGATATTCTATTAGAATGTCAACACCGATTAATAACAAATTTTTGGATACAACTTCAAAATTTTCATTACATTCTTAAACATGTAAAAACTTTATATAATAGTCTATGACAATGAAATACTCACTAATAACAAACAAAACCATGTATATTATTTGACCTGAATATTCTAGCAGAATATATTATTACATATACTCATATCATTCTATTATAGATTATTCTGTCAGAAGAATAACTCTTTCCTTTGTGAAGACCAGTGACAATTGTTCAAGCATCATCTAATCTTCAAGCCCTTGATCATCAATGAAATTAGACATTTTATGAAATTAACTGCCATGAATCAAATCATGTAATAATAATATGTGGACTTGTGAATTGCACCAAAACCAATAACCATGAATTGTAAAACATGCATAAATTAGTGAGAAAATATCTATACTCCATTCCAACAAAATTAGAATTCATGATTCCATTCCAACATAATTGAAATTTGTGATTCCATTCCAATACAATTGGAATCTCACCAATATCATCCATTGAATCACCTACATAAACAAATTGATTTTTATCATATAAGAAGAAAATTTGATATGGAAATAGTGACAAACTAACTTCACTTTCAAAATAGTTAAAATAGTGGTCAGATTTATAAAGTCTTTTAAAGATATAAAATGATGCCAAGAAGTAAAATGCATTTATAGTGTTACTTGCAAAGGGGAACTTTACAGGTTGAATCAGGTAGTTCGCAGATGGAAGAATGGAATTTGAAGATGTAACGCCCGTAGATCCAGGCTAGTTAATTTAGAGATAATAAGGGTTGAAAACGAATTTTTGACAAAATATTATTTAGAATAAATAATATTAACCAAGTTGTAGAATACGTCTCAATGGTTCCGTACATATTAAGAACGTTGAAATCCGAGTTATAACGAAGAAGTTATGGTTCGTCGAAGTTTTACGGCAAAACCGGCACGACACCGGGAGATGTAAATAGTGAATTTACGATGTAGGACCTTTTAGCCTTATAAATCTAAACAAAAAGTTGTAGTATACATTAAACCGAGAACATACAAAAAAAGAATGCCCAAATCTGACTTCGTATGAGGAAGTTATGAATTTTCTAGGATTTGGTTTAGCAGTGCACAGCTTGAAACTCGAATTTTAGATCGAGCGGTTTTTGGCCTACACGACATGAATGAGAATTGAAGATATCATGAATAGGAACTCAGCAGTAAAAATACAGACGAAAACAGAGTCCGTATGTAGAAGTTATGAATTTTACTCGGACATTTAACAATATAATCTCCTCGTACTGTTAAATTTAAGATCAGTCGAGAATTAGCCAAAGGAGTCAAAATGAAAGTTGTAGATCTTATTTTTACCTACGCGTGGATATAAAGAACGTCAAAAACGGAGGTCGTATGTAAAAGTTACGGATTTTAGAAGTCGGAAGTGTGCTGTGCGAAAATTGGTGATGTGGCACAATATTGGCCATTGCTTTCTCCCTAAGTCTTGCCACTAAATGGTGACATGTGGCACCAAGTTCAAATATTTTCACCCTATAAATAGAACCTTTCTCACCGTCATTTTCTTCACACATTTCCCATTCTTTCTTCTCTTTATTGTCTCTCTAGAACCTCTCACTAGCCCCGAAACCCCCCAAAAAACCTATGGAACCTCCCTAGCACGAGGCGGAAGCCCCAGAGTGCTCGAAGGATCCGAGAAGAAGAGCTTTTAGGCTTGGGAACGCTGCTCCAAGCAAAGTCCGGTTTTCTATAAAATCCGTTATAAGTGAGCTACGCCTACGCTATTTTTAATATAGTTTTTATTTAATTATAGTAACGTTATTATGAACTTATAATAAGTACTTGGGCTATTATTATGGGTTATATAAGTATTGCTTAACGCTTATATAATAGTAATAATAGCTAGACTATTAATTAGTCTCGGCGAATAATATACTAAACTCTAGTGGTAATAATACTAGGTTTCGTCGAAAGAAATTATTTTTAAGAAGCGAAGCGCTGTCTGAGTTCGGAATCACCACCTTTGCAAGTGAGTGCATGGTCTGTTTCATCTTACACATAGATATGAAGTATTTAATATAAATTACGTGCTATGTGTGCATATTGTCTGAATACTTGTTGTCTATTCTGGGTGAAATATTTTATACACGTTTTAAATGATTTAAATTGTATATGTATTTTATATCTACAAAACGTGTTGGGTAAAACATGAGTACATGTAATAATTGTTGTGTGACCAAATAAAATAATGAGAGGCCTCGATATAGATGTTATTGATGATCCAGTCATCTAGCGGAGTATAAATGACGACCATAGACTGTTCTAGACAGTCCAGTGGAACGCTAGCAGACTCGCAACCTGTAGGTGTTTATTTGAACTGTGTGCTTACCAACAGTACTCCATCCCCCACATGGTTGCCTTATTTGACATGAATTGCTGAGGAACACCCAAAGCATGTGTTGTCACCCCGATGAAAGTCCCTTAGACTAGGTCCATTATGTCAGATGTTTCAGGGACGTAAAGTGAGGATAATGGGAACAAGTAATAAGGTTTGTTTGGTTTAATAAAGTTAATAAACTTATTTATTGTGGGTTGAAAACCCTATGTACTCACCAGGTTTCCCAACCTGACCCACTCAGTTTATTTATATTACAGGTGTTGATATGAAGCCACATTACACTGAGAGATTAAGGAGATATAAATCACTAGTGATAATGAATGTAAGTTCTGTTTATGCTTATGTTTCTGTATTGATGATGACATCCCAAATGTTTTAAAATGAATAAAAATACATTTCTTCGGAAATGCTTTGATAACGTATTTATCATGTTTTACTGGGAACAAATTCCACAACATTTTTATTAAAAAAAGGTACTGTGATTTTTATGAAGCATAAACAAAATTGGTCTTTTCTGGCCGTGAAAATGTGGATGTCACAGAAGAGTTGCCACAGCCTTTTGCACTTAACACACCCTCCATTCATTATTTTCTTACAATGTGCCACGTGTTGAAGCGAGAGTTGCAGGCCTTAACATGTTGAGAATTTGCTACACGGATACATGTTCTTGGTGGGTTGTTTGTTGCATGGTCCTACACTTATGCAACCTTCTGTGCAAATTTGTTCTAAATAATCCATGGCTTCACTCAAATGAAGATACAAGTTCTGTTCTTTCCTACGCTTCTTGCTTCTCTTCCTCAGCCGCACATTAATTTAATCAGAATCAATAATCAGATAGAAAGCAATTTATTAAACTGATTAATGTTTGATTTATTGAACATAAACATATAAACTTTTTTTTATTTGTTATTAAGAGCACTTAAAGAAAAAATTGTTTTTAACAGAATACTCACCGATTCAGATTCATCGATGACCTGGAGGATTTCGAGCTCGAGGAAAGGATCATTGGTTTGAAGAAACTTCCAACCTTCAGTTTTCTCAACAGCTTTGAAGCCGTTAGACACGGGGTTTACACATTTGAGGTGAAGATCAGGTGCGTCACAAAGTCTCGCAAGTTGAAGAACATTAACTACGTTCTTAATTGTTAATTAACCGTTCAATCAAGGCTTTGCTACCACGTGATTTCAGTTGTGGGACCAGGTAGACATGAGAAAGCGCCAATAGATGAATCCCGAATTTCTCCATGTCGTCTTCTGTGCACCTGAAAACGATGGCATTTTAAAGATAAAGCATTTCCACCGCTAGGGTTTACCAGGATTGCTCGACAACAATACTCCTCAGTCCTCAAGAAATCACCTCGCACCTGTTTGAATGAATCCATCAGATCAAAATTGGCCAATAGATTGGAAGCCAAATGAAACTTGATCCAGTAAAAGAAGAAATTGAAATCTGTGAATCTAAACTGTAAATATTTCAATTTTTAACATTCACAATATGAAAAATCTCGAACAGTTCATATTCACATTGTGAATCTGAATTACTATTATGCACACTGTGAATCTGAGAAGGTTTACAAAAAAAAAAAAAAAAAAAAAATCTCGATCAGTGTAGATTCACATTGTGAATCTAAATTGTAAATATTTCAAATTTTAACATTTATAATGTGAAACAGCTCCGATGAGTTCAGATTCACATTGTGAATCTGATTTATTATTATACACATCGTGAATCTGAGGAGGTTCACAATGTGAATCTGAACAGGTTTACAATATGAATCGGAACAAGTTCACAATGTGAATCTGAACTGAAATATCGTTTTTTTAACATGAATATGAATCTATGTTTAAAAAGTACAAAAAATATGAATTTTGATATATTTATTAATTTTTTTCTATAAAAAATAGATCTTAACTTTTTTCATTAAAGAAAATGAAGTGAGTTTTTTTCGAAAAAAAGTACGTTTTTTATACATCATTATGGATCTCTATGGAAAGAGGACGAAAAATCGTGAACAACGGTATATTCGTTTTTGTTTTTGATAAAAAACATGGCCTAAAAAAATTTTAAACGAAAAAAAATAGTGAGTTTTTTTTGTAAAGGGTGGATTTTTTTGATATAATCCGGTGTGTGTGCGTCTAATGTAAAAGTGTACATCAATTTCGTTGGCCGTTGATTGTTATGATTTCTGATATTCACGATTGGTTCCTTGGTTAATTATGGTTCTCTATTGAACCTCACCGTATATATATATATATATATATATATATATATATATATATATATATATATATATATATATATATATATATATATATAGAGTTAGGTTAATGTGAGATGACATAATTTTGTGAGACCGTGAGACGTATTTTTTATTTATTTTTTATTTTTTTAAATTTTTTTTAGTTAATTCAAGTTCCGAAAATAATATTTAAAAAAAGAATTTTTGGATTTTTCCATTTATTTTGCATTTTAAACTTATTTTTTATGTCAGTGTAATATTGTATTAGAATATTTCACGTATTTTTCAAAAAAAAAAATGGAATTTATTTTTATTTTTATTTATTTTTATTTTTTTAGTTAATTCAAGTTCTGAAAATAATATTTAAAAAAAGAATTTTAAGATTTTTCCATTTATTCTGCATTTTAAAATTATTTTTTAGAATATGTCAGTGTAATATTGTATTAGAATATTCCACTTATTTAAAAAAAAACGAAATTTATTTTTATTTTTATTTATATTTTTTTTGGTTAATTCAAGTTCCAAAAATAATATTTAAAAAAAGAAATTTTGGATTTTTCCATTTATTTTGCATTTTAAAATTAATTTATTTTACATCTATTTCGTTGGCCGTTGATTGTTATGATTTCTGATATTAACGATTGGTTCCTTAGTTAATTATGGTTCTCTATTTAACCTCACCGTGTGTGTATATATATATATATATATATATATATATATATATATATATATATATATATATATATATATATATATATATATATATATATATATATATATATATATATATAAACTAAACCACAGGACTCTTTTAACGATTTATATTTATTAAGGCCTTTGTAGCTGAGATGGGCTTTTGGACCATGTAGGCCCGGATCGTCCAGGGATAGGGTCTTGTGATGACCAAGGATAGCGTCTCCTCTGTTCCCTTCCCGGTATCTGCTTTTTTCTAAATCGCGCCATCGGCGACGGAGGTTCGTTGGGAATTCCGTTACACATGTCTGGTACTTCATCCATCCAACATTTGCTTTTATATTTCTATATGTTGTTATTTCATCAACATTCTTGATCGAATCTAATGTATTTTCACTATGCGTTTTTCTATCTGTGTGTGTTTGATCCCCATGTCATGTTTGATGTAGATTTGCTTATTTCACTATCTGTTGCTTCCTGCAACTGTTTGTTTGCGTTAAATTTAGTAAATCATTAATCCGTATTTCTTTAGTCTAACATGTTAGAGAAAAACATAGGATGTGGAAGTAATGAAAAATTTGTACACTAAGCCATTAATAGACATGAAAGAAACTAGGATGACGGCGGTAAGTAGCTCACTATTAACATAATTTTACAACCCACCCACTATTATCGACCCGCCATATTAATATTATACAGGCACAATCCACCAAATAAACCCTAATTAAGCAAACATTAAAAACTGTAAAATAAAAATTACCCCAACATCGTCTCTTAGTTCCAATTTGGTAGTATGTTTCAGCTTGATAAACTCTTCAATTCCATGGCATCTTCTTGATCCCAAGTATGAAGCTTGGTCACTCAAATAGCTTTACAAGCACAAGTCGTAGTTTCAACAAATGGAAGCTTATCTATCTACTAGATAAGTGTTAAATGCGTGTAATAGCAACTTACTTTAATCTTTCTCACCATTTTTAACAATGTACTTTTTTTTTTTTTTTTTTGTTTTGTACAAAATTGAATGTTTATAGCAATGGTAAAATGTAGGTTGCTATAAGCAGTAAAAAGGTGAAAGTAAATCAGAAATGTGGTAGGAGGTGTTAGAGTGTATGGAAAAGGGCATGAGGCAGAGACAGCAAAGAAATAGTGATGGATTGCGCACTATATGGACACCTGAAATGGACAGATATTTCATCGACCTGATGCTAGAAGAAGCTGGAAAAGGGAACAGGATTGATGATCATTTATTTAGTAAACGAGCATGGAACCACATGACGCTCTTGTTTAATACAAAATTCAGGTTTGAATATGAAAAAGATGTTTTGAAAAACCGACACAAAACATTAAGAAACGTGTACAAGGTAATAAACAAGCTCCTTGCCCTAGATGGGTTTACCTGGGACCATACTCGACAAATGGTGACCGCCAATGATGAAGTCTGGGACGATTATATCAAGGTATTTTAATTTAAAAAAAAAAAAAAAAAAAGTTTCGGTATATATTATAACATTATATGCATGCGTCAGGTACACCCAGGTGCTCGGTCATACAGAATAAAAAGCATTCCGTATTACTATGATTTATGTGAGATATATAAAAAAAATGTATCCGGTATTGTTGATACTTGTTGTGGTATTATTGTTGTTGATGGGTTTATGATGGATGAAGAGGTTGAGAAGGGAGGGAGAGGGAGTCGGACATATTGGGAGCCAGGGATGGATGGATACTTGATTGAGCTGATGGTGGCCCAGCTTCAGAAAGGAAACCAGATAGACGGCTTGTTCCGCAAGCAAGCATGGATGGAGATGATCAACTCCTTTAACCACAGGTTTGGTTTCAAGTATGATCTTCATACTCTCAAGAACCGATACAAGACCTTTAAAAGACAATATAACACCATAAACAAGCTTCTCGGATCACAAGGCTTTTTCTGGGATGATTTACGCCAAATGGTGATTGCTGATGATCACACCTGGCAGGGTTACATCCAGGTCTGCATGCATCATCCATCTTATTCAACTTTTCCATCTCAAAAATATAAATATATATATATTTTTTTTAATAACAATGCATATGCATCATGCAGACAAATCCAGATGCACGCCAATACATGACACGACCAGTGCCTTATTACAAGGATTTGTGTATTGTATTTGTATGCAAAGAGACTCTTACTACTGTTTCAGCAGCAGATGATCAGCAGGAGTCTCCCCATAACTCCTCTGTTGCTGTAGAACATGTGATTGAAGCTATTCAGGGCTTACCTGACATGGATGATGACCTCATCTTGGATGCTTGTGATTTTCTCGAAGATGATAAAAAAGCCAAAACATTTTTAACCTTGGATCTTAGACTAAGAAGGAAGTGGCTAATTAGGAAACTTCGCCCCCAACCTTCAACTACTACTTAAATAATTTTGTATTTTGTTGTGAAATTACAAAAACATAGGACAAGATACGCCCTTTTCCTTAATCGATCATAAAAGAGATTTGCAAATCCGTTGATAGGAAGAGCAATGTGTAGCCACTGTGGTACTGCGACCAATGAGAAATATAGGCATCTAAACCTACTTTTCTGTCGACCAATGACAGCATTTTTGTATACATCTTGATTGCATGATTAAAGATAAAAAATTATTTGCAGCTTCCTATATGATTGTTTGTATCTTCTGAGTTTTGTTTAACTTTAAGTACGTAACTGAATAGTCTTTTGTCATACCGGACAAAAGCTCAATTAAATTTAGAATAATGCCACAAATATGTCTACTGAGGATACTCCACCCCTTTTAATGACACCTATTAATAGATTAGTATGGCCATATGGTATACTCCCTACGAACCACAAACCACCATTTGTGGTGGTGTTGTCCTACCCACAATGAAGAAGAGAAACAGAGAGAAGAGGGTTGCAAGAGAAAAGAAGAAAGGTGATTGATTGTCCTCTGCTGTAGTATGGTGGTGGCCACAATTCACAACGCCCCACTCCTAACTTCTCAGTGTCATTTTATACGAGGCAATCCCCATTTATCAAACAATTCTTATCACTTTCTTTGGCATAAACTTTATGAAATATGTGTTTAAAAAGTGTATAACCACTGTAATAAACTAGGTGGTTATGAAGAAAATGATGTATAACCCTATGCTTATCGAGTCATAAATAAAAATATAAAACTTTTTAGCAAAATGATCGTAAAGTAAAGTTGTAGTTAACTTTATGAGTGTGTGAATATAAAATTCATCGAAATTTGAATCCGTCTGAGGAAGTTACGGGTCTTTCAAGTGCAGGATCATATTGAGGGTAAAGTACACTTCTTAAATAAGAAAATTGGGGAAAACACAACCGTGTAACAATTCCACACTTGTGCTTTTGTGTCGAACTCCTTAAAACCCAAGTTAATGAAATAGGTTTCTATTGGTGGAACTTTTGGGAAAAACACAAGTTGTGTATTGAAACACGATTGTGTAAACTAATCGATAGAAAAATAGGGTATATCATGTACTAAGTCGGTCGCTTACCCGTCATTTCACCCACACACCACTTGAGAGATAATTTCTTTAGTAGTTGGATTCAGAGGTAATTTCTTCTTTCTTGTAAGCTTTAAGTTGCTTTAATGGTAAAGTTGGAAAGAGATGATGGAACCCTTGTTCTTATATCACTTTTATAGAAGAAAATCTTGATAATAGTTATGCAGTGGGTATAGTAATTATGTTTTCAAGTATAAAATGTCAAGATTAGGGATGGACATATGACCCGTTGAACCGGAGAAAAACCGAGACTGGACTGCATATTCATATTAGTGGGTTGGTTTTCGGGTTTTGTTTTTACCAATAATTAAGTTTCGGGTTTGGACCAGACCGTTCACGGAATACGAGATTTAACCCGGACCGGACTGAAAAACATTTTCACCATAATTCCTTTTATGATATCTTCATAAGTTTAAAATATATAGATAATGATATTGAATTACTAATTAATGTGATATTGCAAGATTTCTAAAATATAAAATCTTAGATTATTAGAAATAATTTAGTCAGCCAAAGATTCCTAATGTATTAGACCGGTGCATAATTACATAAATAGGATATGTAAGTTATGTCTCTAATTAAAAGAATTTGACAGGAAGCATATATATGTGTTTATTGTAATGTTTATTTACTTATGTGTGATACAAGATTATATTACATTTAAAGTAATTATGTTTTATAAAAATCTACAAACATTTATAAGCACTAATGTTTTGAAAACCGGACAGGTCGTCTTACTGGTTTGATGGTTCAGGTGGTCCAACCGGTCGGACAGGTCTCAAAAACCGGAAAAACCGAATGATGTCATAATTATATTTAATTATATAAAAAATACAAAAAATGAAAAAAATAAATATTTTTTAAAATTTCCGGTTTTGACGGTTCAACCGGACCGGTTTTTACCGGTTAACATGAATACCGGTTTTTTGGCATTTAAGAACCGGATCCGGGACCGGTTCCCGATTGAACCGGTCGAACCGGCCGATCCGGTCCGGTTTTCAAAACATGGATAAGTACATACTTTAATATGCTAAACCAATAACTTAATTATATTCAGACAACCAAAATATATCCATAAAACCAAAAGTAATAGACTAACGAGTATTCCTCTAACTCTATCTCTCTCTCTCTCTCTCTCTCTATATATATATATATATATATATATATATATATATATATATATATATATATATATATATGAGACAGTTCACTTGAGATTAAAAAAAAATAAAAATCTTGAGATTGAATCTCAGTCATATATTTCTCATTTGCCGCTCTAATGCTCCAGCGTACCAACAGCAACGGGGTATGCGTAATCATAAATGATTATATATATATATATATATATATATATATATATATATATATGTCTGTTCACAGATTGAGTAATCATAAATGATTATGATAGTTGGTGACAAAATGGGTGATGATGACAAAGGTGACAGTGATATAAGTAGCGGATGTGATAGTGGTGGGGTCGGTTGGTGTCAGGGGTGGTGGTAGTGGCGGTTATGGTGGTGGGGATGGTGGCGGAGGAGAAAGGAATGGACGACCCTATATAATCATTTATGATTATGCTAGGGTTGCTGCGCCAGTATGCCGAAGGGTTAGAGCGACATATGTGAAATACGTGGCTGATGTTGAATCTCAAAATCTCTATTTTATTTTTTAATCTCAACGGAACCTATATATACACACACACACACACACACACACACATAACCGTTTACACGCGCCAAGCGGCGGGTGCAAATAAATTCTTTCAAAAAATTAGTTTCTAGAAACAATTTGTTTTTTTGAGCAAATGAGAGTGAGATGCAGTGATGAATAAAGTTTTTGTTTGTTGATTGTGATAGATGAGAGAAAGTGTGAGTAGCCAATGAGTGAGGGAGGGACGAAAAAAGGGTGATGGTGAATCAAGGGAGAAGATTGTGCAATCAACTGGTCATTATATAAGTAGATGTGTATCTGTATATAATGGATTTTTGAATTCAAAGTCAGATGTATCAGTAATCCTTAATTTATGATATGAATCGACCATTATATGTGAATTAGTCTAATATATATATATATATATATATATATATATATATATATATATATATATATATATATATATTAAATCTTCTTTATTTCTTAATGTAATGGTATATGTGTATTTTAAAATTATACTTTGTGTTGGATAATATGCAGACTTATCTAATGTTATCTATTAATAATCTTATTTATTAATAATCTTATCGTTTCAATTAAAATTCAAACGGACAATTCTATGATATCTCTCACTTTCTTAATTGTGGGTAAAATGTCCAATAGATTTTGTCATATACTCACATTGTTGACTTGTACCCAATGCTTTATAACTTGTACAACTTAAAATTAATTATGATTTATCCTAAAAGTGATAAATCTTATATCTACTTTAATTGAAGTAATACTCATCAACTTAATAGTTTAATTGAGCTTTAGAACTCGAGCGATTTAATTTCAATGCAAATTGTATTGTTTAGCTTAGACTAAATTTTATCATTCATTGATCAAATTAATAATTTTTTTTATAAATAAAAGTATATTTGGAAACTTTTGGAAACATCATTAAAAGCACCAATGTTTATACTCCAATTGTATCTCAAATTCACACAAGTGAATGTTTTAACATATTTAAATACAAATTGAATACACCAATCAGAACAAAACACAAAATTTCATGTAGATTATAAATGTTAAAAATAGAGTTAAAATCAAATACATATTTTTAAGAAAAAAGTTTTGGTTGTTTCTTAAATAACAAAAATACTCTAACTATAGACAATAGTATATTTTAAGTTATTTGTAGATACCGTTGAACAACTGTCATTTTGACAACGATATATTTCATTGTCTTTAGAAAAATTGAAATTGGATCTCTGAAAATAAGTCAAATAACAATGAAAAAAGATGAAGTGGTTTTCATCTTGAAGTTAATAATCTTGAATTTAAGTAAAATCACCTTCATCACTTTATATATATATATATATATATATATATATATATATATATATATATATATATATATATATAAAATACATACAATAAATTCTAATAAACATAATTGTAGAATTACCTCCATCTTGAATTTAGCAACCAATTTTCTTACATAATACAAATTATTTGGACTACAAACACCAAAACAAAGTATTAAATATGTGTCTACTTTCCACCAACTACAATTTCAATTTCAACTTCTTTTCCTATTTTCCTAATCATCTCCTCTCTTATGTAAAGGGATATGGGAAATGTTTCTGATCACAATTGGATTTCAAATCCGATTGGAAATGAACAGTCACACATTCCAACCCTACAAAACATCAACATCATGTTTAAACTCTAAATTAAAATCTAAATGAATGGATAAAGCATGTTTAATGACTTGAATTCAAGTTTTAGGTTACAAATGCATAGTAAAGTATTAGAAAGATGTAGACTAAACAATATCAGGTGAAAACTATAAACCATCTTCAAAAAGCATGTTAAAGTGTAAGAGCATCTGAACAATTGTTTTTGACTTTTTTCTATAAATTCTTATTTACTTGATTAGAGGCTAACCTACACTGAAGAAACCTATTGAATGTTGTTAGTGAGAAAGAAAAGGATTGGATTTCTAGATTAAGACTATACCAAATAAATAATTCTTATTAAATCATTGCACTTTGAAAGTACAATGCTATAATTAGATGATTGTTTGCAAAGTATACCAAATTATAGCATTGTACTTTCAAAATTATAATGCTTGAAAAAGAAAAATAAAAACACACCTTTATGTACACATATAAAATTATATCAACAACAGACCATAAATCCCATAATTTAAATTTTTTTATGTATGCCATTTTTACCCTTTGAGGGTTAAGAAGATTTGAATATAAAGATGTGATTTTGTTGAGCATCAATACCATTTTTACCAGATTTGGCAAAAAATAGTAAGTGTGAAAAAAACAATCTCATTGATCTTCCTTCTCTTATATACAGATTTTATTTTTGTAAATTAAAGAAAGCAAACCTGTTACAATATTGATTACATTTTCTTGCTTCGTTTCCCTAGACATTGTAAATGCTACAAGACTCAAGATACTTGAAGGTTGTTCTAAAATAAAAGCACACGGATCCAATGATTAGTTAAGTTTATAGCA